TCACCCATGGTGGACAGATTTCAACGGAGCTGAAACTAACACACTAGGAAGGAGGACTTGGCAATCTACTTCAGAAGAAAGCTGGCCAGTGAAAACCTTATGAATAGGAGCAGAACATTGTCAAATATAATGCCAGACAATGAGCTTCTCAGTATTAAGGTTGGAAGGCACTTAAAATATGAGGGGGGCGCACTGCCTCCTCAAGGTAGAATCAACCTTAGTGACGTGGATGGAGTAAAGCTTTTGAGACCTTCATTTGTTGATATGCCATGACTCACAATGAGAAGCAGCAGCTGGAAATATTCACTAATAATCAGAATGTGGAATATACAAATGATTAATCTAGGAAAACTGGAATTCATAAAAAATGAAATGGAATGCACAAAGACTGATTCCTAGGCATTAGTGATCAGAACAGACTGGTACTGGCCTTTTTAAATAAAACAATACTCATATGGTCTACTGAATTGGAAATGGCAAATTCAAAAGGGATGATGTTGCATTCATTATCAAAAACATCACTTCAAGATCTATCCAGAAGTACAACACTGTCAGTGATAGGGTTATATACATTCACTATGATGTTATTGTTGTCATGTGCTGTCGAATCGGACCTGATTGACTCATAGCAACCCCTCCTTGGGTTTCCAAGGTGGTATCACTACAGAAGTAGATTGCCCAACCTTCCTTCCAAGGAGTGGCTGATGGGTTTGAAACATCAGCCTTCTGGTTAGCAGTCAAGTGCCTTAGGCACTACACTATCAGAGCTCTCTCACTATGATGAGGACCAGTTAATATGATTATTACACAATTCTACATAACAGTCCCTAATGCCAAATATGAAGAATTAAAGATTTTTGCCAACTTCTGCAATCTGACATTGATCAAGCATATGATCAGAATGTATTGATAATTACTGATGATTATAATGAAAAAGTTGGAAATAAAGAAGAATAATCTTTAGTTGGTAAATATAACCTTCATGACAGAAACACCACCAGAGACCTCATGATAGAATTTTGTAAGAACAATGAATTATCCATTGCAAATACCTTTTTCTTTCTTTTGAAAATACTTTTTATTGTGATTTGTGTGAAAATTGACAGAGCAAAACAGTTTTTCATTGAATAATTCATACATGTCATTGATTGCAATCCCCTCAACGTAACATCACTTATCCCATTTCCTGCCTGTGTTTATCATTTCCATTCCTCCTTGTTTCCTGCCCCTTCTTGCCTTCTTAACTTTGTCCTTAGGCAAATGCTACCCTTTTGCTCTTGGCTTGATTATTCTAAGGAGTATATATTTCCCTGGTAGCTCTGGTAGCATAGTGGCTAAGGCACTTGGCTGCTTACCAGAAGGCTGGTAGTTCAAACCCACCAGCCACTCCTTGGAAGGAAGATGGGGCAATCTACTTCCGTAGTGATACTGCCTCAGAAACCCAAGGAGGGGTTGCTATGAGTCAGGTCTGACTCAACAGCACATAACAATAATATACCTCCCTAATGTTATTGTTCATCTTGTAGTTCTATTTTTTAGCTAAAAATTGAGCCAAGGGAGTGAGTTCAGTTCTAGGATTGAAGTGTCAGGAAGGGCCGTAGTCTAAGAAGTTCCACCAGTCTCTATGCAACAGATAAACCTGATCTTTCTTATGATTCTGAGTTCTTTTTTTTTTTTAATCCATTTTACTCCCAATCTATCCAGGACCTTCTAATGTGATCCTTTTCAGAGTGGTCAGTAGTGGTAGCCAGGCAACATCTAGTTCTGGTTTCAGTGTTCAGTGAGGCTGATGTTCATATGGACCATTAGTCCATTGGATGAATGTACCTTTGATTTTCTTTGCTTTCTATGCTCTGGATGGCACTTTAGATGGCCTCTCACAAGCATTTAAGACCCTTGTGCCTACTTACCAAAAGAAGGATGTAGAACGTTTGCTTTGTGGACTATGTTGTGCCAATTGATATCCCATGAGACTATGAGGCTAAGACCCCGGACCAGATGACTCATTCACTAAAGGTTTTTGGCTACAGCTAAGAAGTTTTCGTAACTTTGTCCCCTGTATGCACTTTTGTATTTATGGATTATTTCCAGCATATGTAAATACATATATACAAAAATCCTCTGCCAAGTTTATATATACATGGGTATATTCTCCTTCTCACACCTGTTCAGCTTGTGTGTCTATCTGTATTTACCTCTGTTGCCTCTAACTCTCGTGATCCTCTGTGTCTTCCTTTGCCTTGACCATTTTCTGTTGATCTTCTCCGTCTATACTGCCTTCCCCTTTGCCCAAGATAATATATGTCTACCATGTAGTTAGTGGATTACTTTCCCTTCCACTAACCCCCACCCACCAGACTATCTCTTTTTGTGTGAAAATGTTTATCATAGTGATCTTATACCATATTTTCCCTTTTATGATTGACTAAATTCACTCTGCATAATCTTTCTAGTTTCATCTATGTTGTTTTGCAAATTCATTATTTTTCTTTATCATTGAATAGTATTCCATTGATGTACCATAGCTTGCTTATCCCTTCATCCATTATATATATGAATTTAAGACATTAAAAATAATAATGAGTGCTGTTAAGGTAGATTTAAGAAAGAAGATAAAATAAGGATTCACAAAACTAATCCTATAGTGAGATACATTTTCCAGAGTGAAAAACACTGATATATGCAACATATTAATCATGGAACGTCTACCTACATGAAAATAAAAGGAGATGTCTCTTAAGATATGTGATGTCTTTATTTACATGTGGTTTTAATTTTGGCCTTTTAACAACAGATATACATTATTTCTTTGCAAATAATGACAATAACTTTCAATTGAAAAATGGAAGATAATGTAAGATTTGACTTGGAGTACCTGTTATGTGTGCATCACAGAAAGGAACAAGTGAAAACTGAGGAGTGTCACATCTCTCCAAAATTGGGGGCAGGAGACCATATGATGCTGTGAGAGAAGAGAGAAGTTTGAACCTGAGTCATGTGGGTGAAGGAGTGGTGAAACTACCCAGGAAATTTACTCAGGACAGGAGCCTAGGTCCAATAGGAATGGGTAGAAAACCAGGTAATGACACAGACACTGAAGTGGGAGGTTTTACATACTTACTTATATGATTTACATGTTTACTGTATTGCTATAAATTTGAAGAAAATACTTTCTTTCTCCTCAAACAATCTGTAGAAAACAATCTTTGATTATCTTAGTTATCTAGCACTGATGTAACAGACAACCACAAGTGGATAACTTTAACAAACAGAAATTTATTTATTTACAATTCAGGAGACTAGAAATTATGAATTCAGGGCACTGGTCTTTTTTTATTTTTATTTTTTTATTGTGATTTGGGTGAAGATTTACAGAGCAAATTCACTTTCCATACAGCAGTTCACATATACTTTGTCTCATGTCATTGACCACAGTTTACAACCATGCAACAGCTCCACTCCCACTTCCTCCCCATAGTTACCTCTTTCCCGTGCCCATCCCTCCATTCACTCCTGCCCCCTGCGCTGTCTCCCTGTGCATAAGCAGCCCTTCTTTCTCCCATGATTGTTCTCTCCAAGGAGTATATCTACTTGAGGTAAATGTTTAACTCATATGCCTGTATTTTGTTTGGCTGAAGACCACAGGTGTGGGTTCAACTCCAGACCTGAAGGGCAGCTAGGGGCCATAGTCTCAGTGGTTACACCAGGCTCTATCAGACCAGCAATCCTGGTCCCCACCTTTTTTTTTTTCTTCTCCAAATGATTTTGAGTTTTGTTCCACATTGTTCTCCCTCTCTATCAAGGATCTCCTACATAGATCCCCTTCCAAGTGGATGACAGTGGTAGCCAGGCACCATCTAGTTCTTCTGGTCTCATAGTTGTATAGGCTGCAGATAGGATGGTGTACCAGTTGCTAGGACTAATTGTTTCCATGAATTTTGGTTTTCTTCATTCTTCTTTGCTCTTGACGAGGAGAGATCCATCGTTGCATCTAGATGGCAGCTTGCTAGCTTTTAAGATCCCAGTCACTACTCGCAGGGCACTGGTCTTAGGGGAAAGTTTTCTCTCCCTGTTGGCCCTGGATGAAGGTCTGCTTCTGCTTCCTGGTTCCTAACAGATTATCCATCTTCCCCCATCTCTGCTCACTCAGTTGCCCGTTAAATCTCTTTCACGTTTCAAAAGACATTGGGGCAGTAACGTCAAGCTACAGAAGAAAAGAATCATGAACAAATTCAGGTCAGTCACTGTAAGTGTTGACACTCTGAAAATGTCCAACTCCTAAGAATTCCCATAATCTGGTTGTGTCCCCTGTGCCCCAACCCTTCCCCCATGTCAGGTCTCCACCATAGTCTCACCATTAGAAACTGTGAAAGACACATCAGGGCACTGGACATTGTCACCACCTGGAAAAGCACAAAAACAGGATGTGATCAGAACCCACAGGTGATAACACTAGGAGAATGTGAATTAAGGGGTGAGAGGGCTCCTCCATAGATACCCATCTACACTATCCTAAGGGTCTTAGGATCAGCCTCCCTCCCTCCATGCTTACTTGCAGCTTGAGTGTAGTTCCCTCTTCGTCTACCTGTGGGGAGAAAGCATTCTGTCAGAGATTGGGAGGAAGCAGGACCATGAGGTCTCAGAAGAGCTGGGTAGTCCTGGACACCAGGGAAGTTCCCAGACCAGGACTACAGACCCAGAGCAGGATAAGGAAACACAAGGAAAGATGTACAGGGACTGGACCAATCACCCACCTGGGAATCTTTTCTCAGCAGAAACTTTGCCCTGTGACTTACAACTATTGCAACTCATCACTAGAACCATTAAGGTGAAAGATCTGTCCTTCATTTTCACATGTGCTTTACAGAAGAGTAATTGCTAGCACATAGGAACTCAGACTGGGTTGGCACATCTGTGGATGGTGCCTTGCCCAATGAGGCAGAGACTGCAAGGCAAATCACCTGCCTGGGACTTGATACCATCCAGTGGGACAAGAAAACTCAGACCCCACCCCCATCTATACCTGAGCTCTTCTTCCACCAGAAAACAACTCCAGCCACCACAGCTCCAATGGCCACAAGAACCATGATAACAATGATCACCATGATGGGGATGTCAGACTGAGAATGGGACTCTAGGAAGTGAAGGAGAGGTAAGAAAGCCTGACCTTGTGGCAGTTGCCCAGAAGGTCTCTTGCTTTCCCTGAGAAAAGGCTCCTTCTTCATCCCCCTTCTTACCCCATCTCAGGGTGAGGGGCTCGGGCAGTCCCTCATGCTGCACATGGCATGTGTATTTCTGCTCCTCTCCAGAGGGTACCATCACAGCTGCCCACTTCTGGAAGTTCCCATCCCCTGCAGGTCTGGTCTCCACAAGCTCTGTGTCCTGGGTTAGCTCTTCCCCGTCCCACTGCCAGGTCAGTGTGATCTCCGCTGGGTAGAAGCCCAGAGCCCAGCACCTCAGTGTGACCTCTTGTTCTGAAATGGGGTGGTGAGTCATGTGTGCCTTTGGGGGTTCTGAGGGAAAGAGTCAGAAAATTCAAGAACTTTCATTACTTCCCATAGGCCACCTGAGCAGGATTCATGTGATCATCTTGAGAATGGACAGGAAAATTGGGGGAGGGAAAGGGTTGCAAAACCCAGACCCCAGCCTATGCCAGGGATCTGGGATAATCTATTCCTTGTAAAGCTCCAGAATCAGGGTGAGGCACCCAAGAATGGAAGGCTTCAGGTGTCTTAGGGAGAGAAGAGGGATTTCTAGTTTTGACTTGAGTCCACACAGAAACTCAGAAATTAAATCAGACCTACAAATGCACTGAATGTGGGGCAGAGAACAAGGTTTGTCAAAGAATGCACCTGGTGGTTCTTAAGGTGAATTTCAGGATCAAAGGAAATGATAATCATTCAGAAATGACTTCTCTTCTAATTACCAGGGGAGCTCTGGTGGGACAGTGCCTATGGCATTTGACTGCTAACTGGAAGGCTGGTGGTTCAAATTTACCAGCCACTCCTCAGAAGGAAGATTGGGCAATTTACTTCCATAGTAATACTGACTTGGAAACCCAAGGAGGGGTCACTATGAGTCAGATCTGACTTGACAACAGTGAGTTTGTTTTTTGGTTTTCTTATCACCAGAGATCCCTGGCTGCTGTTCTGCTCTGTCATCCCCTCTGGCTTCACTCCCCCCCCCCCACTTTCCTGCCTTGTGGGTGTGGGGCCTGGATCTCTCCTCTTACCTGGATCCCCAACAAGCAGAAAAGTGGGAGACAGCAAAACCAGAGGGAACGACAGAGCAGAGCAGCAGCTATGGATCCAGGTAAGGGGAGGGACCCAGGCCCTACCCACAAGAGGCAGGAAGTGGGGGAAAGAGAAACCAGAGGGGACAAGAAAGCAGAGCAGCACCAGGGATCCAGGTAAAGGGAGGGTGGAGAGGTTTCAAGTAGCTAAGAGAGACAAACTTGTCTGTCAGTTTGATGTACTGTTGTGGCTTGTGTGTTGCTGTGAGGCTTGGAGCTGTGCCACTGGTGTTTCAAGTGTTGGCAGGGTTGCACATGGTGCACAGGTTTCAGTGCAGCTTACAGACTGAGACAGACTAGGAAGAAGGAAGAGGCCATCCACTTCTCAAAAAGTTGGCCAAGAAAAACCTTATGAATAGCAGAGAAACACTGTCTGATACATTACTGCACAACTTTATGAATAGCTTGGAAACATTGTCATATACAGTGCAGGAGTATGAGCCCTTCAGTCAGAACACTTTCAAAATAGGGCTAGGAAAGAGCAGCATTATCAGAGTAGGATCAATTACTGATTTGGATAAAGTAAAGCTTTCAAGACCTCCATCTGCTGATGTGGCATGACTCAAATTGAGGAGAAACAGCTGCAAACATCAATTAAAAACAGGAACATGGAATACACAAAGTGTGAATCTAGGAAAATTAGAAGTTCTCAAAAACAAAATAGAACATAAAAAGATTGATATCCTAGGCATTAATGAGCTGAAATGGACCAGGTTTAGCCATTTTGAATCAGACAACTATATGATCTACTATGCAAGGAATGACACTTTGAAGAGGAATGGCATGACGTTCATCATCACAAAGGATGTTTCAAGATCTGTCCTGAAGTACTATGCTGTCAGTGATAGGTTAATATCCATATGCCTACAAGGAAGATGAGTTAGTATGACTATTATTCAAATTTATCTACCAACCACCAAAGCCAACGATGAGGAAATTGAAGATTTTTATCAACTGCTGCAGTCTGAAATTGACTGAACGTGCAATCAAGATGTATTAATTATCACTGGTGACTAAAATGCAATAGTTGGAAACAAAGAAGAATCACTGGTAGTTGGAAAATTTGGCCTCGGTGACAGAAATAATGCTGGAGATTGCATGATAGAATTTTGGAAGACCAACAACTTACTCATTGCAAATACATTTTTTCAACAACACAAACAGCAGCTATATATATGTACTTCACCAGATGGAATACACAGGAATCAGATTGACTACATCTATGGCAAGAGGTGATGGAAAAGCTCAATATCTTCAGCTAAAACAAGGCTAGGAGCTGATTGTGGAGCAGAACATCAACTGCTCATATGCAAGTTCAACTTGAAGTTGAAGACAATTACAAGTCTTGAATATATCTCTCTTGAATTTAGAGACCACCTAAAGAATAAATTGATGCATTGAACACCAATGACTGAAAACCAGAAAATCTGTGGCATGACATCAAAAAGAATCATCCATGAAGAAAGCAAAAGGTCATTAAAAAGACAGGAAAGGAAGAAAAGACCAAAATGATGTCAGAAGAGACTCTGAAACTTGCCTTTGAACAGAGAGTAGCTAAAGCAAATGGAAGAAATGACAAGATAAAAGAGGTGAACAGAATATTTCAAAGAGCAGCTTGGGCAGACAAAGCCAATTTCTATAATGAAATGTGCAAAGACCTGGAGTTAGAAAACCAAAAGGGAAGAAAACACTCAGCATTTCTCAAGATGAAAGAATTGAGGAAATAATTTAAGCCTCAAGTTGCAATACTGAAAGATTCTATGGGCAAAATATTGAATGATGCAGGAAACATCAAAAGAAGATGGAAAGAATACACAGAATCACTATACCAAAAAGAACTGGTTGATGTTCATCCATTTCAGGAGGTGGCATATGATCAAGAACCAACGGTACTGAAGGAAGAAGATGAAGCTGCAATGAAGGAATTGGTGAAGAACAAGACTCCAGGAATTGATGGAATACCCATTAAAATGTTTCAACAAATGGATGCCCCACTGGAGGCACTCACTTGGTTATGCCAAGAGATTTGGAAGAGAGCTACCTGGCCAACTGACTGGAAGAGATCCATATTTGTACCCATTCCAAGGGAAGGTGATCCCACAGAATGTGGAATTTATCAAACAATATCATTAATATCATATGCAAGTAAAATCTTACTGAAGATAATTCACAATGGTTGCAGCAGTATATTGACAGAGAATTTTCCAGAGGTTCAGGCTGGATTCAGAAAAGGATGTGGAACAAGGATATCATTGTTGATGTCAGGTGGATCTTGGCTCAAAGCAAAGAATACCAGAAAGATGTTTACTTGTATTTTATTAACTATGCAAAAGCATTTGATTGTGTGGATTATAACAAATTGTGTATAACATTGAGAAGAATGGGAATTCCAGAACACTTAATTGTACTCATGAAGAAACTTTACATAGACCAGGAGGCTGTTCAAACAGAACAAGGGGGCACTTCATGGTTTAAATTCAAGAAGGGAGTGCATCAGGGTTATATCCTTTTACCATACTTGTTGTTCTTGTTGTTGTTATGTGCTGTCGAGTTGGACCTGACTGATAGCGACCCCTCCTTGGGTTTCCGAGGCAGTATCACTATGGAAGTAGATTGCCCCATTTTCCTTCCGAGGAGTGGCTGGTGGGTTTGAACCACCAGCCTTCTGGTTAGCAGTCAAGTGCCTTAGCCACTATGGCACCAGAGCTCCCAGAGCTCCCATACTTATTCAATCTATATGCTGAGCAAATAATCCAAGAAGGTGGACTATATGAAGAAGAATGTGGCATCAGGATTGAAGGAAGAATCATTAACAACCTGTGATACCCTGACGACAGTACTCTGCCTGCTAAAAGTGAGGAGAAGCACTTACTGATGAAGACTGAAGAATACAGTCTGCAGTATGGATTACATCTCAATATAAAGAAAACAAAAATTTTCACAACTGGACCTACAAGCAGCATCATGATAAATGGAGAAAAGATTAAAGTTGTCAAAGACTTCACATTGCTTGTTTCTACAACACCAATGTAAGTAGCAGTCAGGACATCAGACGAAGTATAATAGCACTGGGCAAGTTGGCTGCAAAGGACCTCTTTCAAGTGCTGAGGAGCAAAGATGTCTCCTTGAGGATGAAGGTGTGCCTGACACAAGCCATGACATTTTCAATCATATGCCTCATATGCATGTGAGAGCTGGACAATAAATAAGGAAGACCAAAGAAGAATTGATGCTTTTGAGATGTGTTGCTGGCAAAGAATGGTGAAAGTCCATTGGACTGCTAAAAGAACTAACAAATCTGTCCTGGAGGAAGTGGAGCCAGAATGTTCCTTGGAAGTGAGAATGGACAGACATCATCTCACCTCCTTCGGTCATGTTGTCAGAAGGGACCATTCCCTGGAGAAGGATGTCATGCTTGGTAAGGTGAAAGGTCAACGAAAGAGGGGAAGGCCCTCAACGAGATGGATTGACACAGTGGCTGTGGTGATGGACTCAAGTATAGCGGGAATTGCAGAGCTGGCATGGGACCAGGCGTGTTTCATTCTGCTGTGCATAGGTTCACGATGAGTCAGACGACTCGATGGCAGCCAACAACAACATCATCAGAGAGAATGGATCCCTTAAGTGTCTTTGAGAGGAAAGGATGGCTCCTCTGAGCAAGTCACTCTCTGGTACAGGACCTGGAAATCTGGGCTAACTCCTCACTCTTCATACCCATGGGAGGGGTATCTTGGCATCTATCCTATTTCCTCCCCTCCGTTTGAGAGGCCAGCAGGGCAGAAACAGTCTTAGTTCCAAGGGAGTTCTGGGAGGCACCCCACGACCCCTCCTACCTGTACAAAGCAGCTTCTCCTTCCCTTTCTTCAGGGCTCTGTGAATCCAGTCCTGGTACTTGCACTCCACAAAGTATGTCCTGTAGATCTCTGCCAAACCGGCTTCATCCCATTTGCTCTTGGTTATCTGAGCTACTGCATCTGCTGCAGTCCAGGAATGCATGTCCTCATTCAGGGTGATGTAATTGGCTCCATCATATGCTTCCTGATAGTACCCACAGAGGATGTGCCCATCGGGCCAGAAGTCGCAGCCATACATACCCTGGTAGGTGTGAGACCCTGGTACAGCCCCCTCAGTCAGCCCAGCATCCATGGTCAGCTGTGCCTCCCACGGGCTGTGACTGGTCAGAGCCTCCAAAAAACAAGCCAAACCCACTGCCATAGAGTAATGGTGACCCTGTTTAGCACAGAGTAGAAATGCCTCATAGGGTTTCCTGGGCTGTAAATCTTTATGGAAGCAAACTGCCTCATTTTCCTTCCCTGGAGTGGCTGGGGAGTTGGAACCACTCAACTTTGGTCTCTTTGAAGACTAAGGTGTGCCAAACCCAAGCCATGGTATTTTCAATTGCCTCATATGCATGTGAAAGCTGGACAATGAATAAGAAAGACAGAAGAAGACGTCATGCTTTTGAGTTGTAGTGTTAGACAAGAATACTGAAAGTACCATAGACTGCCATAAGCACTAACAAACGTGTCGTGGAAGAAGTCTAGCCAGAATGCTCCTTGGAAGGGAGAATGGCCAGACTTCGTCTCACCTACTTTGATCATGTTGCCAGAAAGGATCATTCCCTGGAGAAGGATATCATGCTGGGTAAAGTAAGGGGTCAGTGAAAAAGGGGAAGACCCTCAACAAGATGGATAGACACAATGGCTGCAACCATGGGCTCAGGTATAGCAAGGATTGTGAGGCTGGCACAGGACCTGGCAGTGTTGTGTTCTATTGTCCACAGGATCACTATGAGTCTGAGCCTACTGGACCGGCATCTAACAGCAACAATAACAACACCTTTCAGTTAGCAACCAAACACCAGAACTTGTTCAGAGCCCATTTGGTTCTACACTGACAATGAAACTGGAGCAAATGCCTGTGGCTCTTCCTTGGGGAAGGGCCAGGTAGGTCCACCACCCTGGGGTGAATGAACTTCAGACCTGGAGACTCAGGGCACCCGTGCCTGGGGTGCAAGGGAGCTTGTGATCTGCGACCTCCCCCCCCCCCCCACTCACCTGAGTCGCTCTGGTTGTAGTAGCTAAGCAGGTTCCTCAAGTACACTCGGTAATCCTGTTCGCGGGCCTTGGCTATCTGAGTAATTTCATCCCAAAAATCAAGCTCCATGAGCTCCATCCACGATGCTAGAGGCCCAGCCTCAGGTTTCTGGCCATCGCTGTCATACCTCCGGATCTGTCTGTCGTCCACGTAACCGACTGCGATGAAGCGGGGCTCCCCTTGGCCCGGCCGGGACACCGCGGTGAGGAAATATCTCAGGGAGTGGGAACCTGGGGGCAGGAAGCAGCTTTGACCCCCGACTTATGTCAGGCGCGGCGCCCCAGGTTCAGGACGGCGAGCTGAGGAATAGCTAGGAGGCTCATCGACAGAGAAGGGGCGGCGGGAGGGGCAGAGTTTGGAAGTAGGGGTGGAGAGAGAAAGGGGAGGGAGTCTGGACGGAATGGGATGCAGGGGGCTTTGGGCCGGGGACCGCGGTCCTGCGGCTTCACCGAGGGTCCAGCCTCCCCACCAGGAGGTCCCCTTGCTCCTCCCTCCGCAGAGGCCGTTTCCCTCCCGACCCCGCCCTCACCGGCCTGGATCTGGGTCAGGGCCAGGGTCCCCGAGAGCAGCATGAGGAGAGTCTGGGGTGCCATGAGTCGGATACTGGGGTTCTATGGAGAACCTACTTCCCTACTGAGCCAAGTGGAATTTTGGATAAGGAACTGCGGTTACTGGGATTGGCTTTTCCAGAAATCTGTGACCCAATGGGAGTGAGAGCTGCCTTTACGTCATGTGTGTCCAGGCAAAAGAAGTTTGTAAGGAAAAGTAGCTGCTTAGCTACCGCACAGGAGTTCTGGTAGCATAGAGGCTAAGGCACTTGACTGCTAACCAGAAGGCTGGCGGTTCAAACCCACCAGCCACTCGTCGAAGGAAGGTTGGACAATCCTACTTCAGTAGTGATGTTGTTGTTGTTGTTGTTAAGTGCCGTCAAGTCGTTTCCGACTCATAGCGACCCCATGCACAGCAGAACGAAACAC